AGACAGTTTCCCTTTAAATGTCATCTTTGAGTCGTTTCCCTTAAAACGAATTTGGTCTCTTTTGAGACAGTTGCTTTTAAAAATATCATCTTTGGGTTTGTTTCTTTTGAAACAAATCTTTGATTTGGTTTCTCTTGAAACCATAAACCCTAAAGATGGCCAGCCGTCCTCATCATGTAGGAACCGTGTCATCCCCAGACCAGAGCTCTTCATCACGTAGGAGCCGTGTCAACCATAGATAACCAGCCGTCCTCATCACGTAGGAACCGTGTTATCACATTTAGATGGCCAGAACTCTTCATCACGTATGAGCCGTGTCATCAGCTGACCAGATCTCTTCATCACGTATGAGCCGTGTCTTTCTCCGACCAGATCTCTTCATCACGTATGAGCCGTGTCACCCTAGATAACCAGCCGTCCTCATCACGTAGGAATCGTGTTATCACCTTTAGATGGCCAGAACTCTTCATCACGTATGAACAGTGTCGTCCCCACCAACAAAACTATCCATTTTTTTTCCAAACCAAAAAGAGGAGAACCAGACAAAAACGTGTTTTCTTGTCGTCTTTGCCCTATTCTTGTTAACACAAGAATGTGCAAAGAGGGGCAGCTGTGGACACCCGTTTTTGTCCGGGTTTTTTTTTTTATCGTTATTTTATTATTATTATTATTATTATTTATTATTATTATGTTTATTAATTACATATTACAATTTTTGCAGGCCAAAGGCCCAATCCCGGAGCCCAACAATCAACCCATCAGATTAGGGTTTCAAACCCTAAATCAGATTAGGGTTTCAAACCCTAAATCAGATTAGGGTTTCAAACCCTAAATCAGATTAGGGTTTCAAACCCTAATCCCCTAAATGTTCCAGCCGCCTCATTCCTGGCCATTGGATCTGGACCCATCCAACGATCCAGATCACGCAGTAATTAGGGTTTTAAACCCTAAACCTATCATCAACCGCCGCCGCCGCCAGCAGCAAGTGAACAGCCGCGCCGCCGTCACTGTTCCGGCCCGTCTCGCTCCACTCCGATGGTCCAGCCGCCGTTCCCGCGCCACCATCGTCATCTACAGTAAACCACAGCAACCCCATCAGTCCCAAATCAACCCAAATCAGAAAAAATATATATATATCCAAACCCTAAAATATAAAATACCTAAATCCCGGTAAATCGGGAAATTGGTCACCCTAAATCAACAACCCATAATTTCCCCTATTCCTAGACATCATCATCTCACCAAACGAAAAAAATCAACCATAAATCAAGCAAGATATCAGAGTCAAAAGGGGGGGGTCATTCGGTTGAAAAAAAAACGGAGAGAAGAACGAGAGACCATTTGGGTTCAGAGAAAAAGAAAAAAGAAAACAAAAAAAAAAACAGAAGATAGAAAAAAAAGAGAGATTCGAAACAAAAAAAAAAGAGAAAGGAAAGAGGAGAGAATAGAGACCATACCTTGGTCGAACACCGATGAAAACCGGTCGCCGGAGATGGAGAAACCGAAAGGTTTCTCCCCTGATCCACTATGATTGAGCCACTTTTAGGCCAAAGGGAGGCCAAATCCTTGCTCAGGGCTTGGAGACGCTTCGGATGGCGTTATTTTCTCTCCCTCCGGCGTCGGCATACGACGGCTACCGCCGGTCAGTGGCGGCCGGCGCGGCGGAGTCTGGCCGTTTCTGGAGAGATCTCTGGATCTCATCTCTCTCGGTCTCTTACTCTCTCTCTTCTCTAGATGAGAATGAAACGGATGGCCGGTTTTAGGGTTATTTGGGCTATTATAGCTTTTGCAAAACGGCGTCGTTTTGAGGGGACGAGTTCTGTAATTTCACGCATGGGTAACTACACTTTAGTCCTTTCTGCTTTGTAACCTCACGGTTTAATCATTAAATAAAATTATATTATTATATTTTGAGCCTTAATGTTTTAACATTGGTATTTTGGTCTGGTACTTGCTTGTTTATTATTATTATTAATGTTGAACGTTGGCCATAGTATTTATATTATTTCAATTTAGTCATTGGTTATGTGTTGTTTATTTCTTGTGAATGTTAGAATTTGGCCATGATATTTATGTTCTTATATTTTAGTCACTGTTTGGTATTTGGTGTAATTACTGCTTGAATCTTTAAGTTTCTGTTTATTCTAAAATTAACCACTGATTTTGTTCTGTTTTATTGTAGCCATTGATTAATCTAGTTTCTCTATTTTATGTTTCTGATACTGTAGTTTCAATTTACACAGTTTAGTCACTTGTCTATAAAGCTTAGTTATTTTATTTTATTTGCATTATGGTTTGCCATGTTTGCATGTTTACATTTTAACCCATGTTATATTATTATACTCATATTTTACTTTGGCCACAATGTTTGTATTAGTTTCATTTTAGTCACTGATTTTATATGTTGTATGTTTTGGCTGATGTTCAAATTTGACTCTAAGATTTGTAAATCTGTTCATTTTAGTCACTAGTTTGCATTCGGTTTAATTACTATTTTAGTCCCTACGTTTCTGTTTTGCCATTTTAGTCTTTTAATTTTCTATTTTTCTGTTTTAGCCCTTTAATTTGTTGTTACCATGTTAGTCATTGTAATTATTAAATACTTACTTTTTTGACCATTATATTTTGGGTTGTAACATTCTTTTAATCCCCTAGGTTTGTACATTTTTCATGTTAAGTATTTTATTTGTACCATATGTAATTAAATATGCTTAATTTTATTTGTTGTAAATATTTATTTCACATATTTCTATTTCTATTTATTTCCATTTTTCTTTATTTAAATATTGTCCAAATACTTTTGAGAACACGTATGCGTAGAATGAGCGTGGAAAGTATCACTTGGTCGAAGTGGTGCGATCCGATACGGCATTTTAACGACATAGGAAATTGCAACAAGTCGAGTATATTTCACTAATTAATTTGTGCAAATGATGCAATGTGTGTTATTTTAAATAGTAATTTATTTTATTTTATGTAAATGTCAATTTCAAAATTTGCATTCGTATTCAATTCACATTTTAGTTAATCAATTTATTTTGTTGTATGCAAACATCAATTTTATTTATTTTCGGTTCACCTTTTATCAAGAGGGAAATATTCTTTATGGATGAGAAATAGTCGAGTTAGCTTTCCCGATGGAGGATTGCTAATTTCGAGATTTCTTTTCGAGTTAAGGAATTTTCTCTAATTATTTAATTCGAAGCAAATTAATCAACGTTCGATAAATAGATCACATTTTAACTTTATATTCGACTCATAAATTCCACCATTTACAAGGATGTGTAAGCGACACAGTACCAATTTTGGGCGTTGCGGGGATGTTTACCCTTCCTCGCACGTAACCGACTCCCGAATCCATTTAAATGAATCTTTGGTAACGCAGACCGAATCTTGTCTAAAAATGATTTTTCTTAAAATTGTTTTAAAAGACGTTTTTAGGTATTCGACCTACCTAACCCAAAGGTTGATGGCGACTCTTTTCAATTTAATTCAAATCAACTCAAAATCACCCAATCTTCCAAATTAGAGTCGTAATCGTTTTTTTATACAAAGGTATTTGTTTTTAAAAAAAATGGTTATGACAGATACTTCTTACGAGGTCGGCACATTCCCTTCTATCGAGAGAACCATTGGTCGCAGCATTATGATAAAGATAAATTTATAAAAGTTTAAATAATTTTTTTAAATAAAATTTTAATAATAAAAAAATACACTTTTAATAAAAATATAAAATTATTTAAAATATATAAAAATTTAAAATTTTCAAGTAGTTACGTCCACCCCTCCAGATTCATCCATGTCTAGAGCCATCCTTTCATGGGGCATAAGATAGTTGGGGCAATTGGTATGATAACTGGTGAATGCCAGTGAATCAACAGCTCACACCATCCTATACTTTTCCAATAAAAATTTCAATAATTAATTGAAAATAACGCACTAAAAATATCTGCTTCCATACCAAAACTCTAAAAAAACAACCAACTCCTTTAAAGTAATAATTAAAAATATTAATTAATCACATAAAATACCAATATTCACATAATAAAAGTTGAACTCAACATGGTTTCACACGGGGTTGAAATAGTGCTTATGTGGTGTAGTCCAAAGTTCTATGAAATAAAAAAGTTTTAGATAAATTATATATTTAGTTACCTGACTATAATTTTAAATTTATTTTGATCATAAAATTATTTTTTTAAATCACTACTAATATTACATTTTAATTTTATTTTAATCATTTGTCAATAAAAAAAGTTACATTGGTACTAACTTATCATTGTAAGGTAACCACATCATCATAAAAATCTAAAAAATACAACATTAACAGCTCTATTAATTTTTTAAAGTAGGGTAATGAAAATAAAATCAAAATATAATATCAATGATGATTTTGAAAAGAATATAATTAGGTGACCAAAATAAAATAAAAATGATTGTTGGATGACTTGAATACATAGTTTATCCAAAAGTTTTATATGGAATTGAGCTGCCCACACTGCCCGAGAAACCGTGGTAGTTAAGGCAACTGGACAAAAGCAAAGGGTCCCAGCCAAAAAAACCTTTGGGAACAGCTGTATGACACCTACAGCTTAACTTAAAGCCACCCTGTCCCAAGTAACGGGCAGCCCACAAAAATAGCATTTCCAATAAAATATTACATATAATTAAATTCATTTTATTAGAAAATATCAGATTCGAATAATTATATTTGTAGGTTATTTATATTGTCAAAAATTAAGAATTTTTTGAATAAATAATATCTCATAATTATCTTAAATTATTCAAAAAAAATTAAATAGAAGGTCCAATCAAAATAGGATATAAATTTAGTGATTAACTAAAATAAAATTGAATTAAATTAAAGAAAAGAAAACAAACGAAACTGAATTAATTATTACACTCAAGTTTTTGTTTAATTGTTTTCATCACTACATGAAAGCTGGCCAAGAATTTGTCATGTCCCCATCACATGTATAAATCCACCGTTATGTCACCCCAATACTGCTCGTCTCAATTTCCTTCGTCTCCACATACTTCATCTTCTTCTCTATTGCAACAACATTTTGCGAGGAAGAGATTGCAAACAAATGGAGGCATTGAGGATGAGGCTACTTTTCGCCGTGGCCGTCGTGTTGATGGCCACGTCAACGATCCAGAACGTTGCGGCAGCCGATGGCCCGGCCCCTAGCCCTACCTCCGATGCCACCGTCTTTGTGCCGATGGTGTTTGCTTCCCTTCTTGCTCTTGCATTTGGTCTCCTCTTGTAAGATGGGTGGCGTTTGATGGAATAGTGGCATTTTCTTTTATGTTGTTGATATTTCATGTAGATCTCTTTCGTGTGGGGTTGTTTTCTTTTGTCCTTTCTCTCCGGAGGGCATACGGCTCTTGTTAAAAGCTTGGGGATTATTATTGGTTGGGATTTCGTTGTGGATTGGTGGATATATTCTCACATTTTGCTTCTATTTTAATGTATAATTGATGTGACCCTAATGAAATTATTTGTTTTCTCTTTATTTTGGTTGGTTAATTAGTCCTTCGCTTCCTCCTCCTTTAACAATTCAATCCACATTATGGGTACGTTTGTTTCATTGTAATTGATTTTCTGAAAAATGAATTATAATTTTTTAAAAGTTTAAATCCGGATAAATATTTTCTAGGTATTGAAATTTAAACTTTGTGATTCTTTTAATGGATTTATCGATTGGCCTTTGATCAAAAAGTTTCCTGAATATCCGGCTACTCGATTTTTTATTTTATTATTCTTTTTATTTTTAATTCTCAAATTATTTCACTTAACATTCTTAACATTTTACTTTTCTATACTATTACTCTTACATCTTAAATTGTTTTTCAAATTATTTCTTTCAACCTCAAAACATTCTAATTTAATTGTGTTTCTTTGAATTCTATTCTTTTAGATTTTTATCTTTAAATTTTGTAATTCAAATTTCTGAATCTTATGTTTAGACTATGTTTTGTAAATTTTAAAATTTTAAGTTATATAAAATTTTGTATAAATTTCAAAAATACAAATACTTAAATTTTACGAGTAACACAAACTAAATTTTTAATACTTAAAATTCTAAATAAGAAAATACTATTTGAGCTTATCGTATGGGTGTGACGAGTAGCATTTGTAGTTGATCCAAATTAATTTTGGAAATAGTTAATAGACCATTGGGTCAATTTTGCCTTTTTATAATAACCATGTGGCTGTCGAAAACCAGAGGCAGAGCCCACTGGACCGAAGATCAAAACAGAATGAATGGGCATAGATGTAATTCAATCAACCCTCCTCTACCAGAAAACCCTAATGGATCGGCTCCAAGTCCCATCCTATTAAAACCCTAGAAACGCCTCTAATTCCAACCACTTTGCCTGAATTTTGAATCTATTTTTCTAGTCATCTCAGTGGTTCATCAGTTTGCCTCTTTGAGTAGCCATCTGAATGAAATCTCAATCTTGCATTTGGCTTAGTTAAGAGGCAGAAATGGATTCGAAAATCAGAGAAATGGGGTTCCCCATGTTTCTGGTGGATTAAACTCGGGCCTCTTGAAAGGGACTCTTGGGTTTTCTTTCTTCTTCCCGTTGTCCCACAAGCAGCCCTGGACATTTCACCTCTTTTTTTTCAGATTTGAAATTATTTTACTGTTTTTTATGTAGATGAAGACGATGCGAATGCCTCTCGAATAACCTGAAGGCTAGAATGTAATCCGACGCCGTTTGGTTCAGACAGAGGCTGAGATCAAAGCTCGAAACGGTTTGAGGGTAAGGAACGATTTTCTTCCGTTCCTTTCCTTGATTGTCTTCGTATATTTCTTCAACTATCAATGCATTAAGCTATTTATTACCAATCAGTATCACAAATCGTACATTAAAATTTATTTCATGTATAATTCTTTTGAGCAAATGTATAAAAATTTAAATAGAGAGAAAAAATTGATAGAAAAGGGATTAATGTTGAAAGAATATAAATGAATCGTTTATGAGATATTTTACTTTTTATCGATCAATTTTTAAATAAATTTTTCTTCTTTTAAATTTCTTGGGCTGCCGATATTATTGAAATTCTTACATTAGACACTCTTAAAATACTGTTAAAAAATGTGGTATCGATTTTGTTATTCTTTAAATAACAAAATCGGTAAAAAAATTGTCGAAAAAATTATTATTTTTATCAGTTTTATTATTATTGGACGTTTTTATCAAGTTTTACTGGATTTAATAAAATATTATTGATTTTGTTATTTTTTAGCGATTTTATTATTATTAGTTAATTTCACTGAAAATATTAAAAAAATTGACGTTTTAAGTAAAAATAATATTTTGGTATTTTTTTTATCGATTTTGTTATTTAAAGAATAACAAAATCGAAATCGTTTTATTTTAGTGTTATATTAAGGTGTTGCACTGTAGAATTTTTGGCGATATTATTGTTGATTGTAAGACCAATCTCTCGATAGAAATTGGGGCACTTCCGTGAGATGTTATTTGTTTCGAGTTTCTGAATTTTAATGTTTTAAATTAAAATTTTACTTACTAAATTTTATTTGTTTCAAAAAAAAAATAGTTGAAATTATCTCATGACAAATTTTCGTAGAATTATAAAATGTAAAATTTGACAATATAAATCATTTAACAATTCATGTTATATCAAAAATCAAATGTTAGTTCAATCTCTTCTAAAATTTGCTTTAAATAAGTTTATCATATAAATTTTGTGTAAAATAAAAGCTCTCTTTAGTAATTTTTTTTTGGGGCTAGAAACACATTTATACTTACACATATTTCTCCTTCTTTTTGTTATAATAAAATAAAATTAAGGTTTAAAAGAAAAAATATATTATGTAATAGAGTGTCGATTATTTAACATTAAAAGAAAAAAAACAAATTATACTTAAAAGTATCAAACATAAAAATATCAAATATAAATAATAATAAAAAGTATCACAAGGTGTATAAAACTCCCAAGTAATAATGCAATAATCCTAAAACAATATAAAATAATTTTGAGGTGGTGGCACGAGAGGTTCTTTCATTTCTTTGTCTTCTCTTAGGGACCTCGTTCACTGGGATACTCGTCGAAGTCTCAATTAGCCTTTTAAGCCGATTTGAGATCAAAGACACTAACAAGAGTAATGGAAGGATCAAAGGAAGTGAAAACTCTCTGTTTATCCCTAAGGATATAACCTTAAGGTAGAGTTGACATAGTTTACTTCGTTTGTGACAACATCGATAAGTTCTAAAATATGATCATGGTAAAGTTTGGACGAATGTAGTTTTTTACATGATAAAACCACCAATAATCACATAAAACTCAAGAGACGTGAGACTGTCATTGGAAAACCTATCCATCTTTATAGATTGGTAGTCTTTGAAAAGATCATCGTTATTGATATTCAAGAAGTTAATAATGGTAGATGAACAAAGAAAAAAAAGGTTCTTACCATTATATATGACGTTATGACAATGACATTGTTAACGTTTTCTCATCAATTAACAACTCAATTGCAACAAATACATGGATAATTTACCCCATATTTATTCTCTATAAATGAGAAGAAAGGATTAAGGGGATATTTACCATGAATGATATGTTTAAATTAGATGATTTTTTTTTTTAAAAAGTATTGTCCTCTCTGTTTTGTGATAACTAATTCGAATCGGCTCGCGTCGAACGTCTAGTTTTGGTGGGTGAGTCTCGCAGCAGAGATTTTCTGTTTATTTTAAAAGTGTTTAGGTTGTCTTTTAATTATTTATTAGTATTTAATCTATTGATTTGATTAATCTAGATTGGATTTTATAGAGGCCCATTATGGGGACGATTCTTTCAATCTAATTTTATCTATCTATTGTTGTTGGGATTTGAACGCCCGACCTTACTTAAGGAATCTAGTATCTTATCTCATTAGACCAATTAATTGTAGTCGATGTTTGTGTTTGTTTGCTCAAGGTTCTTTAACATATTTATTTAATATTCATGTGTTCATTTTTACTTTTTTTTATTTGCAAGTCAAAGAAAAATAGTGAAATCATATCAATAGTCTCGAATTCCTTAAGATTTAGAGTTTGAACTCCAAAGTGTACATGTGATCAATTTAGTCCTTACTAAATGTAAAATAAATAAAGGCTTAATTAGAAAATAAGTGCCAAACTATACCCTTTTTCTCAAATATGTTCCAAAACTTTTTTCGATTCATTCATATGCCTAACGTTACAAATGTTACCAATTTAGATGTCTGATACGTGACAGCCGTTAAAAAAGGCCGTTAAGTAATAAATGTCACATTCTAATCCCCTTCTTATCATTGATTGATTTGTTGTTTAAGTCCATGTAGATTGGAAATTTGAAGGGGACGAAGGTTGTTCGGGGGAATTACTTTAAGAATTTTTTCCTTAATAATAATATTATATTTTTTAAAAATAAAATTTTTAAAATTACTAGAACATGACATGTGTCACTTAACGAGATCTTTTAACGGCTGTTACGGTTGGAACCTAAATTGGTAACAATTGTAACGTTAGGCACCTGGATGAATCGGAAAAAAAAAGCTTGGGCACCTATTTGGAGAAAGCGATATAGTTTGAATACTTATTTTCTAATTAAGCCAAAACTAAAAGAAAAAAGAAAATTATGTAAACGAGCTTATTCATTAACATAAAATAATCAAGCACACTTCTGTTTGTGTTTGTTTATTTAGTAAATGAACATAATTTTTTATTCATATTCATATATTTAACTTAATAAATGAATGTTATATGGACGGTTCACAAACACTTTATCAATCACTTCATCGATGCTATGTTATTTTATACCCCTATACTTAACCAAACTATGATTTGTTTGAAAGCACGAAGGAGAGAAATGAGTTAAAAGGATCCAAAATACCAGTAATGCCAATCAAAGTTATTATTCATTGAATTGTGGATAAGTATCGCTCAATATTGAGATGACTATCCATCTCAGTTGGTAGAGCACAAGATTCTTAACCTTGAGGTCATGGGATCGAGTCCCACGGAGGACATTTCATAATTCGGAGGTCTTTTACGGAAGTTATTCTCAACCTGGTGTTGGGGGCAGCCACTATCTTACCTCCCCCTTACCCTATTACATACGAGAACAAGGGACAACCATTTTTATCGCTCAAGATTAACTACAACTTAACCAATTAGATTTTTATATATTTTATATCTATTTTATGATTTATGTTTATTTTCTCCACAATATTATTTTTAACGTTCAAATCTAAATCTTAAGTGAAAATGCAATAATACATTATCTCCCTATCAAATGCTGGACATTAAAATAAATTTAAGTGAAAATGTAATAATACATTATCTCACTTAAACAAATTTCGAGTTCAAGTTATAATGTAAGTAGAAAATTTTCACTGAAAGACTCACCCATTAAAATAAGATATACGACGTGGGTCGATTTAAATTAATTAGGATGACATCAGGAGAATTGCACCAACAATGGCGATAGAGGAGCCAAGAGAACCACCATGAATGCCGCGTCCATGTTGTTCTACCAAGAACTGAGCTTTCATTCCTCATTCTCTCTTCCACTGCTCCTGGATCCAACAGCTGAAACCTGCGGTGTTTTCCTCACTAACCATGATAGCTGCTCTTACGACAACCATAACCAATCCATGCACGTGTCCTGTTTCTCCACCAATGCTGCCACTCTTCCTACCTGCCATGGCGAATTCAACCTTGCGTTGCCACTACCGGTACCACCTTCAACCTCCTTCAACGATCTCACCCCTGTCATGCTTCAAACTCAACCGCAACGTCTTTGCAGCTTGGTAATTGCTATCTCCCATCCCTCCTGCATGTTGGGTCGGTTTTGAAGCTGAAGATGTTTGTTTTGAAGCTGCATGTTTGGTAATTGCTATCACCAAAACAATATTGTTTTGATCCGACTGTTAACGATTTAATGATTCAGTGGTATAATTGAAGTGAAAATCAAAGTTCAATGCTATAACATTTTCATTTGTTTTCAAATTATGATTATTTTTTTAAAAAAAAATAGTCCTTTGACCTTTGAGTATGTATTTTTCTATTCAATTTATTTGTTTCCTTCCAAGTCCCAAAATCAGTTATTGCATATTTGAATTTTCTTTGTAAAGGAGGTTCAGGCATGGTAGAAACTACTCAAGAGAAGAAATCACTAAATCTATATTATAAAAATATTGCTACATTTATTTCCCTCAAATATTCCCGACTTTGATCATATACATATACTTCAGTAAGTGCTGAATTTGTAGACATTTCACTAACATCAACTCCCACAGTATGAAAACTATACTTTCATATAACCAAATTAACACACCAAAATTATAGAATTTCAGGTATATATATATATGTACAAACAGAGAGACCCTATTCAGATTAATTGTATAATATTTAGAACCGTTGATCGAGTAGATGGACGGTCCAAATTCTCCATGAGACAATAGCTTCAAATACCATCGTAGTAGCCACCAAATGTTATGTGAGCTCTGGTGATTGGAACCCCTCTAGCTGCAGAGATTGATTCATCGAGTTTTGTAGTATGATGAACTACTTGTTTCATCCTCTGCAATTAGGGACCGGTAAAAACTTATATTAGTGGATGAAGTTAAAAATTTCAAAAGAAATATCCAAAACATTTAGAAATTTGAAATTTTCAGGCAGACGATAGCCCTATCGATCCATCCATGTCTGCAATCTCAACAAATTTAAGTTTCTTAAACCACAAGATTTGCTTGAAAATGGGGAAACCCATTCGGTGTAATTTGTAAGAAATGGTGTTGCTTTTGGATCTGGACTCCTAAAGTGATGATAAAATGGGCCTCCTTTTCAATAATAATGGAGACAAAGATCTTGACATCAACAGGCTTTATATCCTTATCAGACCAGTTAAGAACATGAAATTTACATTCTGTCATGTGATTTTTTGATTACCTTGTGATCGGTGTAACGCTGGAACAGCAGTTTCTGGTTCTGTTGGTGTTGTTTTTGCCTCTGTTGAGTTCCGAAGACGATGATACAAAAGGCAGCAGCAGCGACACCGAAGGAACAAATTGCTCCGATTCCGGTCAGGCTCCATTTCCAGAGGCCACCGGGACCGGAGTTTTCTTCCCAGTTGGCGCCGGCTTTCTTTTCGAATGAATCCCTTAATCTCGGAGAACTCATATTCTGCAAAAATTCATCATCTTCTTCATCAAAATTAAACTTACCTGCTGCGTCAAGTTGAGTAATGGCTCCTTTAGTAGTGGACCTCGGCGAGTCCATTTTGTTGGTCATGTCGACGGATTCATTGTTGTAACTCGGTTTCCGAAACGAAACCTGTGTCTTCACTTCTCGATCGCCTTCGACCGGTTCGGTGCCGGATTCTTGGATCTTCTCGACGAACTTCCCCTTATCACTTTCCGGAAATGGAACCGGGACAAGTTGTTTGGGTGGAGGAGGCTCTTCTTTGTTGAAATAATCCGCTAGGAAAACGAGATTCGTATCAGAAACTCGTCTTCCTCCGTGGATTTGTTTCTGGGCATCTTGATTGATGTCTGGGAATCTATCGTCGGATAACAAAATCCACTCATCAATATCCATCTCCTGGTGGATCATTTCGTTTACGAAATGGAATCTGATCTAAATTGGGAATTAATATGGGAAACCGATTGGATCAAAAAAGATAGATTTTTTAGACGTGGAATTTTGAGTGATGAGAGCAGAGGCCACCACAGCACAAATGGTGTTCCTTTGGGTGTGAAAGATTAAGCCTTTATTCAAAGAACAACATTACAGTTTGAGTACTTGATGAGCTTATCTTTATAAGACCCACAAATTAAGAGTGGTCCAATGGGACCCACAAAAAAAGTGTCGTTAATTTTCGTAATAGTTTATAGGCTTAATTTATCTGCCGTAGTTTTATTAATTTTAATTTGTGTATTTTAAAATTTTAATTTAGATTCAAAAATATAATAATAATAATAGAACCTAATTTAATAAGTTTCATTGTTTTTATTTAAGTCAAAATCAAATTTAATCAAAATTTTAAAATTATATAATTTTAAATATCAAATTTTTTTCATAATTTAAAACTTATTTTGGACTCAAGTAATAAATATCAGGTGGTGACACATGTCATCAATAATGTGTTGGCATACGACACCTCTTGATTGGAGGGTTGATTTTTTGAATTTAACTAAAATATGACAAATTTATTAGAATGTGTAAATAATAAAGACTAAATGTTGAATTAGATCACTTTTATTAACTGTCACGTCATCACTTCTTAAAGATTAATAACAAGTGACTGATAGAATTCAATTAAATAATTGAATAACCTTATTAACAAAATTTAAAAAATAATTATCAAAATAAAAATAAACAATAATTAGGTGAACTAAGCAATAGGTTATCATCTTATAATCACATACTATTTGATATAGGGGTAATAAATACATAAACTGTTCTATAATCCAAAAGAATTGATAACCATTGAAAATATTAATCAGTGAATTACAAATGAAAAGTAGGGTATCATTTAATAGATTTTTTAATTTTTTTTACTTTCAATATTGTATTATCTTTTAAATTTTAGAATATATCTAATTTTTTTACATAATATATCAAACAGATTTTATAATTCAAATTTACTTGGTTTTTTACTTTAATCACACATCGTCTTAATATAATCTTATAAATTGATGACTTGTTTTTTTTATTAAAATATTTAAATATTAAACTTTTTATGATGAGTATGTTTTGAAAAATTAAATTTATATAATTTTTATTTGTTAAATAAAAATAAGGTTTAAATAATTTGAATCTATCCAGTGTTTATTATTTTTTTGTGATTTCAACATTATCAATAACCAAGAAGAGTTCTTGTAGCAAAATTAGGTTGATAAAGAGGAGGGAATCCACTTTGAGTGTGAATTAGGGATGTGTTTTTATATTACAATAAACCCATTATGTGTGCTTTATTTCCATGCAAAACCCAACACGTCCCTTTATAAAATGTTGAAGATTACAAGCCAAGAATTTGTTGCCAATTAATTTAGGAGCTCAAAATTCATCCCCAACCTAAACCCTAGTTTTGTTGAAATTAGAAACGAATCTATATTAGAGACAAACTTATAAAATTTTAAAGGAAGAAGACATATTTGTAAAATTTAAGGGGTAAAAGACAGATTTTTAATAAAAAAAACCAAAAGATATCTAAAAGATATAATTTTTTTTTAAAAAATTTAAGGGGATTTTATGATCGTGAGCTGATTGAATTTGGTGCCACTTCACCGATGTTCTATATTTTGGCCACACTTGCAATACTGAATCTGTTTGGCAGCTTTGTGGCAATCAAGAAGACCATCTTTGATGAAAATCAGGACTTTATAGACCAATTTGGTCTCCTAACAATCATCTTGCTTGTGTACCAAGCATTATTTCATCAATAAATGGTTCAGCTTTTACTGGTCTCTCACTCTAATCCACAGATGGAACCCTGTCTTTCGTTACACTTTCAAAGAAAGGCTCTCTTCAAGGTCTCTCTTAACTTAATTGCCTCTTTTGTTTTAACTCAACCAATTTAGGCATGAAATTCAATACTTGCTAACACAGGTACGATCAGGAAGCTTTGCCTGGCGTAGGCATTTTTGTTTGCACGGCGGATCCTGGAATAGAGCCGCCGATTATGGTGACAAACACCATTTTATCGGTTATGGCTTATGATTATCCACCTCAGAAGCTAAGTGTTTATCTATCGGATAATGGCTGCTCCAAGTTAACTTTCTATGCTTTGTTGGAGGCTGTGCGTTTTTCCAAGATATGGCTACCGTTTTGCAGGAAGTTTGAAGTCGAACCAAGATTGCCGAAGGCTTATTTCAGGAACACTAAATGAACCAGTTGGTGATTCTACCATGGCCAAAGATTGGCTGTCCATCAAGGTAAACTTCTCTGAAATCATTTCTTCAGTTTTTGTTTCCTTAATTTATGTATTTGTGTTTGTTATATATTTATCTGGAAAACAAATGTTGGTTAGTGTGACATATGTATCATTCAATAGCTAAGTATTTGCCATTATCTGCGATATATGATAACATCCATGAGAGGACTGCAGATTTCAAAGTAGCAAATTTCAAACATTGATAGTAACTTTTGTCAATTAATAGAAATCATATGAAGACACGAATCGAAACCGTCACAAAGTTGGGCAGGATTCCGGATGACATACGAAAGAAGCACAAGGGATTTCGTTAATGGGACATAGTTTTAAGTCAATATGATCATCAAACCATTCTTCAGTTAATTGCTACATTTGTTGTTTCCCATTGAATCAGCAATTCCATGGCTGAGATCCTACAAGTTTGCCTCATTTCCTTTTTTTCCTGTTACTTAGATCCTAATTGATGGAAGAGATGCTACTGCCATTGACATCGAAGGGAAAGTTTTGCCTACCCTTGTCTTTTTTTAAAGAGAAAAGAGACCAAAGCACCACCATAATTTCAAAGCTGGAGCCATGAATGCACTGGTATGCTATATTTTACTCTGCTCAGGCACTGTATTGTCACTAGATCAAAATTTGTATACCCCAACTGTCCTTCATGACTTATTGATATAGATAAGGGTGTCGTCAAGGATAAGCAATGCGTCAGTTATCCTTAATGTAGATCGTGACATGTATTCGAATAATCCAGACGCTATCAGAGATGCTATGTGCTTTTTTATGGATGAGGAGAAGGGACATGAAATTGCTTATGTTCAGTATCCACAGAGCTTTTATAACCTTTCTAAGAATGATCTCTACAGCAGTTCCCTAAGAGTTATAGTCGAGGTGAGCATTAAATAACCAATACGTCCTTAAATTATCAATTGTGATGCTGTAATAGTTGGAGGATACTTTGATATTACTTCTAATAATTGGTCCGTTCTTGACGACTATCAAGCTCGAATTTCTTGGATTTGACGCAAATGGAGGTCCGAGCTATATAGGTACTGGATGCTTCCATAGACGAGAAAGTCTTTGTGGAAAGAAGTATAGCAAAGAATTTAAGGGAGAATGTAGGAGGGCGAACAAGAAGAACGAAGAAAGTGCAAGTTTCTTGGAAGATGCAGGCAAAGTCCTTGCAAGCTGCACATATGAACAGAATACAGACTGGGGAAATTAGGTCGTAATCTCTCTCTCTCTGTATGATATTATTCTTTTCTGTCTTAGGGAAATACATGAGTTGCCTAATTGCAGATGGGATTAAAATATGGCTGTCCACTAGAAGACATAATCACAGGATTATCCATATAATGTAGGGGTTGGCGATCCGTGTACTTCAACCCTGAAAAGAAGGCATTCCTAGGGGTCGTTCCGAAAACACTGTTGCAATACCTAATACAAAAATAAGAGATGGGCTGAAGGTGACTTTCAGATTTTTCTCTCGAAATATTGTCCCCTTATCTATGGACACAAAAAGATCCCTCTAATACTTCAGCTTTCATACTATCCTTACTTGCTGTGGGCTGTGAACCGCTTTGCTACACTATACTATGTTACTGTCCCATCCCTTTGTCTTGTTAAGGGTATCCTTCTGTTTCCAAAGGTAACTTTCTTGTCTATAAATTTTTTAGGTTTTATTTTTGGTTTCCTGTTTTATACAAGCAATGATCATTAATTTCATATTGTTTTGAGAGTTGATCCTTAGATGTCATGCCCTTGGGTCCTATCATTTGCATATGCCATGTTTGTCGATTGCCTGCGAAAGCCTGGGAGAATCTATATGTCGTGGAGGCACAATCCGAGGTTGGATGAACGATCAACGGATGTCAGAAAGGAAGGGTAGAGCTGCCTCTCTGATCATCAACCATGTCTGCTTTGCTCACAAAGGAATGCATGTCGATAACCAGAAAGTCAGAAGCTGAAGCAGCAAAAATCTACTCGAGCAAGTTGACAAGGAACCGAGAGCTGTAGGTTTTTCGTTAAATTATAATTATTAATTAATTAATTAATTAAAAATAGCTCACAATCACATGATGACACATGCTACTATCTAATTTGGAGATTAAATTTATTAAATTAAATTAAAACTATGATCAAATTAATAAAAATATAAATATTGAGGGTCAAATGTGTAATTATAACATTTTTAACAGTTACCTCCTCGACCAATAGTTTGATTAGAGCACTTAATAATTAAGTGATTTGATTGATAAAATTTTAAGATTAATGATCAAAATGAAAAATGACAATAATTAAGTGGTCATACATTTAGTTTACCCTTAGAATTCTTGTAACTTCATAATTTGTTTACGTTTGTCAATTGTCCTTTAAATGTATTTAAAAAATTTAAAAATATAATCTAAATTTTCGTGGTAAAAAAGAATATTGTTATCTTATTTTAAATTTGAGGGTACATTTTATTTGTAGAATTATTTTTAATAAACATATTAAATAATAACTTTTTGTATTATTATTGTATTAGGATATATATTTTAAGAGTAAAGTATACAAAATGGTCCCTAGATTATGGGTAGTGTTTTGTTAAGTCCTCTGACTATTAAAAGTTATAAAATAATCATTCAACTATTCGTATATTTTAAAGTCGTCCTTTTCCGTTAAAAACTTATGACAATCTGAGTTAGACGTTAATCTGTTGACTGAGATATAATAGTCATATGAGATTTTGAGACCAGATTTTATCATGTCACACTTAACATGTTAACATTCATATCAAATTGTTGTCATTTTTTCACATA